GACTTCTGTATAGCCTGGGTGGGGCTGGGGAATCTCTGTCATTGATTAGCGTAATGTGTAGTTTAACCTACTTGTATGCCATACCGACACTCATGAATAACTCATTCATCAATGTCTCGATATTTTTTAGCTATGCATAATATATTTCGATTAGGATTATTTTTTTATATAAAGTTGTTCAGCCGAATTAGTCCGTGCTCGCATAACTAGAGAACTCCGCAGCCCAGAGGAAAACTAAAAATATTTTCAGAATCAGCACGTCTGGGAGGTGGTTCTGGCTGAAACAAAATTTTTTTAAAGTCAAAAAATTAAAAATTGATAAAAATTCTACTCATCAATAGATGACGGTGCGTACAGATTAACACCACGTACGTGTGCATCCGTGGTGTATACCCTTAACGGCGCAGTGGCCGAAGTGGTTAATTTTTTAATTTTTAATTTTAATGTCTTTTATCTTTTTCTTTCTTTTTTTCTTTTTTCATATTTTTTATTTTTTATTTATCATCTTTTTATTTTTTACTGTTTGGGATCGGATGGCATGGGATGGCATGGCATGGCATGGGATGGCATGGCATGGGATGTCATGGGATGGCATGGGATGGCATGGGATGTGATGGGATGGCATAGGATAGGATGGCATGGGATGGCATGGAATGGCATGGGATGGCATGGGATGCGATGGGATGGGATAGGATGGCATGGGATGGGATGGCATGGCATGGGATGGGATGGGATGGGATGGCATGGCATGGGATGGCATGGCATGGGATGGCATGGAATGGAATGGAATGGCATGGCATGGCATGGCATGGCATGACATGGCATGGCATGGCATGGTATGGCATGGGATGGCATGGCATGACATGGGATGGCATGGGATGGCATGGGATGACATGGGATGGCATGGGATGGCATGGGATGGCATGGGATGCGATGGGATGGGATAGGATGGCATGGGATGGGATGGCATGGCATGGGATGGGATGGGATGGCATGGCATGGCATGGGATGGCATGGCATGGGATGGCATGGAATGGCATGGGATGGCATGGCATGGCATGGGACGGCATGGCATGGCATGGCATGGCATGGCATGGCATGGGATGGCATGGGATGACATGGGATGGCATGGGATAGCATGGGATGGCATGGGATGCGATGAGATGGGATGGGATGGGATGGCATGGAATGGGATGGATGCATGGATGCATGGATAGATAGATAGTTAGATTTTTTTGGGTATTTTTCTTTCAACCGAGCGGTCACCAACTGAGTAACGCCACTAATTTCCCCGGGCAACGCCAGGTATCCCACTAGTACTACATAGACCTAGGCGTAGATCAGAGTGAATGTCACGATCGCATGTATGCCAGAGTTTACAGCGAGCGTTTATATTATT